TTTAAAAAAATAAAAATCTTTAAAAAAAAAAAAAACTAAGGCGGGAATCCAGAGACAGTAAAGAGAACACTGATGCCAGCTTTTGATTTGAGGGAATTTGCCAACCAGTGTGAACTTGAATTTCAGTATTTATAGCCTCAAAAAAATTCATAATAAGATATGAAGTCCAGGGCCCACCTAAGGTAAGGATTCTAATAAAAAATACTTTTTTCATTAAACTGGGATCTTTAATGGCTATGCTATCAGTTTAAGGGTGAGATAGAAAGTCTTTCCAAAGGACTGAGAGTAAAACTGTCCACCTTGAACTTTGGTGTTGTAGAGAAGCAGCAAGAATCAACCCTATCAACCCTGAGGAATCATAACCACAAGCCATCCCTCATGAGAGTTTGTGGCCAAATTCCCACTATCTGGATGGTCCAAAAATCTCAAGCCAAGAATTAAGTTCAAGGTTCAAGGCAGTTCACTGTCATAAATCAGAATACAGAAGGAAACAAAACACCAAATGCAAGAACCAGCAGAATCAATAGCAGAAAAAGATTCACAAAGACACTAGATACCAGAATTATAAGACATATAATATGAAATATGGATGCTAAATGTAACTTTTTTTTAAAAAAATTTTATTTATTTATTTGTCAGAGAATGAGAGAGAGAGCACATAAGCAGTGGGGAGCAGCAGGCAGAGGGAGAAGCAGACTCCCCCGCCAAGCACGGAGCCAGACGTGGGACTCGATCCCAGGACCCTGGTACCATGACCTGAGCTGAAAGCAGACACTTAACAACTGAGCCACCCAGGCGCCCCGAATTTTCATCGTATTTTTAAGAAACTGATTCTTCTCCCCTTGGCTACCATTTAAAAGTATTCCTGGGCACCTGTGTGGCTCCGTTGGTTAAGCGTCTGCCTTCAGCTCAGGTCATGATCCCAGGGTCCTGGGATTGAGCCCCGCATCGGGCTCCCTGCTCTGCGGGAAGCTTGCTTCTCCCTCTCCCACTCCCCCTGCTTGTGTTCCCTCTCTCGCTGTGTCTCTCTCTGTCAAATAAATAAACAAAATCTTCAAAAGAAAAAAAAAGAATACCTTGAAAATTCTTTAAGCATAAAAGAACCTTGGTTATAAATACTCCACTGGCAAAAGTGGGATAATAGCTTCAAATCTATTTGGCTCATTCTTCAAGGTAAACCTTGTTAAGGAAATGAAACACCACCAAAGATCACGACTATCCTTCAAGTGAAAAAGACAGCCTTTTAGGGCCTGCTTTTGAGATTTTACATATAGAGAGAAAAACTTTAACAACTTCATGCCCACGAAGTTGAATGAATGAAAGGGGAAACTACTTCTCCTTACCTCTGTCTCCCACACGCTCCTTCACCCACTGTGCGGCCAGAGAGATGCTCTCTGTCTTGGTGATGTCCAGGATCACCGTCTCCAGCCTGTCTGACGTCTGGCCTCTCAGCTGCTGGGCCCCCTCCTCTGTCAGACACGCGGCCAGCACCCTCAAGCCTCGCAGGTCCAGCTGCCTGGCCAGCAGGTTCCCGAAGCCCGAGTCACAGCCCGTGATGAAGACGTACTTGTCCTGGAGGTGGCTCACCACCTGCCTCTCCCAGTACCAGCGCAGGAGGTAGTACAGGCCCACAAGGGCCGCCACGGACAGCCACATGGTGAGGGGACCTCCTTCCCCTTCAAAAGAAAGAGAACAGCTTTCATTTCCTTCTGTCCTTTTCTCTTTAACCAGTTATCTACTGAGTATATACTATGTGCCAGGCATTGCACCCAGTGCTGGGGACTCCATAGTCACCAATACTCACAGAGCCTCAGTCCAGAGGGGATCGGAGGTAACAAGACAAGCGCCATGCAGTGTGGTGGGTGCTGTAACAGCATACACAGAGTCTAATGAGGCTGCAAAGGAATAGGACCCACTGCCGACAAAGTTAGAAATGGCTTCACAGAAGCAATGATTTTGGAACTACTTCCTGTAAGTTAGCTAAGAGTTCAAAAAGTAGACCCGGATGAAGAACATTCCAGGCAGCAACAGTGTGTATATGAAAGAAGTGATGAGCAGCATAACCTCCTGATGCCTACAAGCAGTTGAACGTGGTGCAGGACAGGGCATCCAGAGGCCACGAAGGCTCAGACCAGGATGTTCCTTGTGGGCCACACTAAGGAATCTGGACACTATCCTGTAGGCAACCAGAGTGTGCTATTATTGGGAGGTACTAAATTGAGGAGTAAAATAAGCAGATTTAGCTTTAGAGAGATCTGTCTCACAGTGGGAGGGGAAGGTATATTTAACAGGGCTGTGAGGAAGGCAAAGAGATCGGTTAAGAGACCCAATTGTTTGGGTGAGATATTGCAGCCAAAGCAGTTTGTAAATAAAGACCAATCAGATGCGTTGTTGAAATGAGTGCTCAGAGATGCCTACATTTCCTCATGCAGTTCTAGAGAAACAGCCACCATTTGGGGGCAATCTATAGCGCTGGGTGAAGTAACATATGATTCATAAGAACACAAAACACCATCAAAGATGGGTGTGAGCCCACTAGGCCAGCATAAGACCTGCATCATGACACCTGCATGAGGTGAATCTATGCCATTCAAACTCTCTGGCTTGGCATTCAGGCCATCCCAGGGCTCTGGCCCTTGACTTACTCCTTAGGCTTCTTTTTTGCCACATCTCTCTTGCACCCCACTCTTCAATCATAACTAGCAGCTTTCAGTACCCCACAGGCTTTTCATGCCCCAGTACACAATTCTCTCAACATTCCTTCTTTCCCAGCCCTCATCCATTTGGCAAATAACGCTCATCTGTTAATACTCCGCTGAATCATCATTTTCATTCAACAAACATCAATTCAAAACCTACTATGAGCCAGACACAATGTTAGGCACGGATAAACAACAGTAAGCCCAACAAGGTTCCATTATTCATTGAATTCACCATCTAAGTGTGAAGGCCAACAAGAAAACAAAGCGATGGAATAGAATCAAGGACAAGATGCTGCTGGAGCGCTCTAGGGAGATCTGAGGTTTCTAGAGAGAGTAAAATAGAAGTTGAGATCTAAAGGATAATAAAATAGTAATAATAATAGCTAACAACAACAATAGCATAACATTTGCTATGTACCAGGCCCTTTTCTAAGCATTGCACATATATTAACTCACTGAATTCTCACAACAGCACTGTACGGCAGGTCCTGTCATATCCCCGTGTTAGGTTCAAATGCCAAAACATTTAGGCATGCAAGTGATTCGGTGGGGACAATACCATGAGAGGATAAAGGGGAGAGTACAGGAGTAGGTGGTAATGCAGATCTGACACCTCTAAAAGGAGAAAGAGGGGGCGCCTGGGTGGCTCAGTTGGTTGAGCGACTGCCTTCGGCTCAGGTCATGATCCTGGAGTCCCGGGATCGAGTCCCACATCGGGCTTCCTGCTCAGCGTGGAGTCTGCTTCTCCCTCTGACCCTCTTCCCTCTCGTGCTTTCTATCTCTCATTCTCTCTCTCTCTCAAATAAATAAATAAAATCTTAAAAAAAAATAAAATAAAAAAAAAAGGAGAAAGAGGGTTTGAGAGGAAGCTCCTTCAAGTGCAGGACCCTGAGAAAGTATCAGCCAGGCCAATGGGGGGCCCTTGAGCAGAGACTGCCCAGTAGAATCCCACACTGGGCAGAACTGGCTGGGCTCCATTGCTGCCACCATGCTCGGTTACTGGCTGGGGGTGCCCAGGAGAAGCGTGCCGCAGTATACAGGCCATCGCAGATCCAAAGGCAACAGATGGAGGCTGTGAGTCAACGGCACTCCTCAAAGCTGACTGTCTTGAAAAAACATCTGAGCAACACACTTCCATGACTGCCACATTATTTTATAGATGAGCACTGAGAGATGAAGTATAGCTCAGGGCAAAGCAGGGGAAGAGTGGTCCAGGCAGAAGACTTTCCTGACCCCTCTTAACCAGACCCCTGGTCTAACAAAATGGACCACTGCCTCCCTGACATCCCCACTGCAGCCTGCGCTTGAGTGTATCATGACGCCCGCTAACTTGTTACACTGCTTCCTTCCACTTTTAGACTGTAAAGCCCTTGTGAGCCCAGGCTATGTATTCATCTGCACCTGGTGCAGTGAATGGCACACAGCCGGTGCTGTGTGGTTAGATAAATGCTGTTAGATAAAGATAGATAAATTAAGTGAAAATATCCTCGGCGGGGGGGAGGGGAGGGGGGAACAAAGGGAGAAAAGAGTAACAGGAAGAATGAGCCAGAGAAGTAGTCAAAGTAAAGCCAAAGGAAGCCAAGGGAAGAGGGGCTTAATGGAGGATCAACTCTGCAACACGGAGATCCACTGAATACTAGCAGGTTACTAGTGATCTACACTAGACTCTGGGAGTTAAGAGTAAAGAAGCCAGCCCGCAGTGGGCTGATGGATGGACTGGAGGGCAGGAAGTAGAGCCAAGAAGAGACTCAGTTCAAAGGAGTCTGGGGAAGGAGAAGAAAGAATGCAGTAGCTACAGGGGAATGAAGTGTTGTGACGCTGTGATTTATAATAAAAAATATATATGTGGTCTTTGTCCATTTCTGGCACAATGCTTTAAATACTTAGAATTTCCTAAGTGAGGAGAACAAAGCTGTATTATTATGTTAATGAGGTTACCTTGAAGCCATATCTAAGGATGAGGGAACCAACAATGTGGTCGGAGGGTTGGAATGAGTCCCACCCACTCCTTTACCTCTGGGAAGGGGAGAGGGGCTGGAGATTGAGTCCAGTCACCAATGGCCAATGATTTAAATCAATCATGCCTATGTAATGAAGCTGCCATAAAAAAAAAAACAAAAGAATGGGGTTCAGAGAGCTTCCAGGTTGGTGAATACATGGAGATTCGGGGATAGCCACATGCTTGGAGGGGGCATGCAAGCTCTGCGTCCCTTCCCCACACCTTGCCCTATGCATCTCTTCCATCTGGCTGTTCCTGAGTTATATCCTTTTGTAATAAACCTACAGTAATCTAGCACATAAAATATTTCTGTGGGTTTTTTTTTTAATTCCAGTACAGTTAACATACAGTGTTACATTCGTTTCAGGTGTACAATATAGTGATTTGACAGTTCTATACATTACTCAGTGCTCCTCATGATAAATGTGTTCTTAATCCGCATCACCTATTTCACCCACCCCCTACCCACCTCCCCTCTGGTGACCTTCAGTTTGTTCTGTGAGTTCTGTGAGGGCCTCTACCAAATTAATAGAACCCAAAAAGGGGATCACTGGAACTTCCAATGTGTAGCCAGTCAGTCAGAAGTACGGGTGATAACCTGGGCTGGTAGCTGGCATCTGCAGTAGGGGCTGGGGCAGGGGATGGGGGCAGACTTGTAGGACTGAACCTTTCACCTGTGGGATCTGAGGCTATCTCCTGGTAGAGAGTGTTGATGTGGGAAACAAAGGCAGAAGAAAAATTATTAAATTTCCTTACTACTTACAGCCCATTGACAAGTCCTTGAAACAAAGTGACGTTCCTCTAGGGATTCAGCTGCCTCAATGTTGACACTTTCCCAAGGGCAAAAGGCAATCTTGGCCTGACCCCCAGGACCCTGTAAGTCTACTTTAACATATAAAAATTCCTTTGGAAACTTCCTTTCTCTCTACTCCCCAAGATACATGTTGGCAATCATCCCCCAAGCCTATGACCCACTGATAAACATCTGAAGGGTCTCATGACTAAGATTTGACTAGACAGCAATAAATGACCTTTTCCCAACAATAGCTAGCCCCTTCAAGTTCCTGGAAACCTTGCTTCCAAAATTTCTTAGAGACTTACACTATCCCTAATCCCCTCCCAACTTGAAAGCATATAAACTGCCACCCCTCACAACCCCAATGCAGCTCTTTCTGCCCCCAGGGTCCTGTCCCGTGCTTTAAAAAAACCACCTTTTTTGCACCAAAGACGTCTCAAGAATTCTTTCTTGGCCGTTGGCTCTGTGTCAGAATGGAGATTTATATATTTACACTACTATTTCTTGATTTATTGGTTCTAGACATTTTCTTTTCTTTTTTAAAGATTTTATTTATTTATTTGAGAGAGAGAGAGAGAGAGACAGCAAGAGAGGGAACACAAGTGGGGGGAATGGGAGACGGAGAAGCAGGCTCTCCGCTGAGCAGGGAGCCCGATGCAGGGTTCGATCCCAGGACCCTGGGATCATGACCTGAGCTGAAGGCAGACGCTCAACAACTAACAACTGAGCCACCCAGGCGCCCCTAGACATTTTCAACTGACTTCCTGTCATGGTAATGAGAACTTAGCTTTCTCACACCATATTGTCAGTCTCTTTCTCATCCACAGGATGCCACCTGGTTAATTTCCTTTGAGTTTTGAAGTTGAACTCAGAAAACACCTTCACAATCACAATGCATAAATTAAGATCTACTATTTACTTCAGGCCTGAGCCTCGCCACCCTTGGTCTTCACCATCCTTTGAAGCTGTTCTCCCACGAAGATCTTGAAAGCTGAAACTGCCCTCTGACTACAGCCCCTTCGTATCTTTAGGGCTCTTTCCCTTCTTTCCCACACCTCTCCCTGTCTCTTTCTTCCCCTACTGCCCTCCCTTTGCTCCGTCTCTCTATTATTACAGTCCTCTTATGGCTTCATTTACTTTCTTATTCAGTGTAGGTCCCACCGCCAGCCACTTGAGGG